CTTGGTCTTGAATTCCCGCGCCAGCTCTGCCCTCGCATCCCTCCTGCCCTGCAGTCGTCCCCCCCAGCTCTCCCAGCCCAGGGTGCCCTACAGCATCTCTGCCCTTGTCCCGCTCCTGCCTTGCGGGCACCCTGCTCTTCCAATGGGAGCTTCTCGAGGAGAATGGCTACTGGTTACTTCGGGGTTTGTTATTTACTGTCAGTGACATGTAAGATGAGACGCTGAGCTGGCATCAGGCTTGTCCTGTAGGTGTGAAATGTAGAAGAAACAAATAAGTGAGTTTCAAGCCATTCTTCTCGGAGCTCATTTCCATCTCTCCAGAATCTGTCCCTGGCATGGATAGGGCATCCTACCTTTCCAGGGATGGAACAGTGGGCTGTTACACTGTGATTCCTTTCATATCGGTCTCTGCTCCCCGCCCCATCCAGGGGGATCCTAAGCACAGGGTAATGGGTACCCCATATTACATTTATGCTGAAAGGGAGGAAAAAATCTGGCCATTTTCTCTTTTTCAACAGTACCAGAGAGCCTGGCAGTGCTTTCCCATGGTCCCTGGAGCCAGAAGGGTCCAGCAGCAGCCTGGTCTCTCCTGGAGCGACAAGTTGTTAGGCTGAGTATGAAAACGCCCGCAAGCACTGTTTAGCTGTAGTGCTTCCCCTACTGTAGGTCTGCAGGCTTTGGTTTTGCCTGTGCTAAAGGTTCAGAGAGGCCAGACGCAAAAGAGTTTTCCAGTTGAGGGTCAACGAGAGATGGCTGGGCAAAAGGACGCTGTGACACCCAGAAGATCCTGGTCCCAGGAGGTTTTATTCTCAGCAATCCTTCTTCCAGCAGTCTGGGAACTGTGAAAACATAACACAACTCACACATGGGAAAAAATAATAAGGTCAAAGCTTCTCATTTTAAGACTGTCCTAAAAAGGTCTGTGCAAAGTAATGACAAGCGCCAAGGAGGCAATGCTAACTGTTGCTGGTGCTGACAGTTTTGGCATTTTAACATGCTGGCTTGACACCCTGAAAATTAAAAGTCTCTGACTTTTTATCTGAGTGAAATTACTGTCCACTAAGATCCAGTCATTTTTAATGCAGCTGGCTTTGGATTCTAAGCAGATGAAGCCAAATCAGGTTTTAAATTCACAGGGAAATTATTTCCTGCCCCGTTTCCCCTCTTCTCAGCCTTTCCTTGCCCTCCGACCAAGGTGGCAGCTGAAAGGAACCAGCCATTATACTTCTAGCAGGATTTCAGCCTTTGGATGCCCTTTTCTCCCTCATCTGAAAAAGTGGCATGCCAGATATGACCATCTGGACACATGCTTCTCCTCTTGGGCATTTGGTCGGCATGGTCAGATCTGTTTGTATTTGCTGAGTTTACTTGATCCTCTGCAAACTAAAATGACTTGATGGCTTTGGAAAGTGGCAGGGTACGCATGTCCTAACCGCAGCTCTGTTGCTGGTGCCCCGTAGTGGCTTTTGCTGCTCTCTCCTCAACCATTTTGGCTGGCATAGCACCATTCTGCTAGGAGCTCAAACTGGCCTACGGCTCTATCTGCTAGTCCTGCTTGAGCTTAGTCCTTTTTGGTTTGTTCGTATGGCTTTTTTCCTGATGCAAATGTTAACCCCTTGAGGTTAAGATAAAATCCCAAAATGTGGTCTAGCCACTGGTTTTACTCCCGGGCTCTGCTTATCCATGTTTGCCAGCACACCATGGAGAAGCTGTGCTGAGGAGGCTCCGAAGTCACCGTCCTTGTATCCCAGAGCCGCTGGGACACAACTCTTGCAGAAATAGCAGCCTCCCTTCTTCTTTCCCAGACTAAGCCCCTCTGTCCTCTCCAGTGCGTGTTGGTCTCGGACCTGCAACGCAGTATGTACTACAGGTAGCTGTGCTGCTACAGGACTGAGGTGGCCCTCCACATTGCTTTGTTCCCTGTAGTAAAAGTGGCGGCTTGGATTTCTGCACCAGAACTTGCAGGGCTCTCCCAACCTGCAGCTCAGCTGGCAGGAGTGATGGGTCTGTCTGTCGTGAGCTGTGAGACAGGGGACTCCCCTCATATGCTGGGACAGAAAGGAGAAGGAGAAAGCGCTTCTGAGTCCTGCTGACTCCGTGCCGAGCCAGATCTCGGCGTGGTGCTGCAAGCCGCCTCTCTGCTTTGGTGTGCCGTGAAACAACGAAGCCACAAGCATCTCTTGGACGAGGCAGGGTATTTAATTTCCCAACTGGAGCATTTCCTTTCTGCTGCCCTTTATGCAGTCTTGGGGTATTGGTTGGCAAAGGCACTTGCTTACTTTCCAAGACCACCGTGTGATTGTTGTTTTGTACTGGCAGGCATTTGCTGTGCAGAATGGGTGTGTGATAAAGGGGGAGGAGGCACAAAATGGATCTACAGTCAGTGAAACTCTCACGTACCCCTCAATATGGTGGGATTAAATTCTTTGACAACGTCAGCGTTCTCCAACAATGTTTATTTTGTTTTGTTCTGTTGCCTCCTACGTCTTCCTACACGCGCAGACACACTGCCAATGGCTCGCAGTGAATCACCAACGTAAAATGTAGCAGGGCTTGTGTTTGTCAGGGGATTTTGCTTTCAGAGGAAGTTGAATTTGAGAGGCTGGTTTTCTGCTATGCTTTTCTTTACCCAGTATTGTGCTGCTAGGGCGGTGTCCCTACTCCGAAATTCCTTCTCTCCAGGGAAGGGGACCCTGGTGCAGTCAACCATTCCCCCAACATGCCTTGCTTTGGTTTCTTTGCCATGAGCTGACGAGCCATCAGCTCCAGCTCTTGAGCAGCAAACCAGCTTCCAAGGTCCCTTCTTCCTTCCCGTTGCCAGTTAGAGCAGGCCTCATCCTGGTGAGTTTTGTATATCTTCAGGGATGGAGTTTCCACCAACTCTCTGGGGAACCTGTTCCTGACTCTGACCTCCCCAAAGTAAAAGCTTTTCTCTCATTTTGAGTCAGAATTTTCCCCAAATTGCAGCTCATGTCTTCTGCTTTTTGCTGTTCGCTCTGCACCTCTGAGAAAAGCCTGCCTCTCTTCTCTGCACCCTCCCACTAGTTATTTGTAGACAACAATAAGATCTCCCTTCAGGCTGAACAGACCCAGCTCGCCAAGGTTCTCCTTGTACGTCAGGTGCTATAGCCCTCTGTTCTTCTTGGGAGCCCTCCAGTGGACTTGCTCCAGTATGTCAATGGCCTTCTTGTACTGGGGAGCCCAAAACCCATGTAGTGCTTCAGATGCTAACAGGCACCATTTAAAGGGATATAATAATTTCCTTCCGTTTATGGGGCTACACTCTTGCTAATACAACCCGGGATGCTTGGTCTTTGCCACAAGGGCATACTGCTAACTCACGCTGAACCTGTTGGGCCCCCACATCTCCTGGACTTCTTGAGCCTGGCACTTTCACCCTTCCAGCAAATATCAGGGTGGTTGAAATCCCTCACCAGGGACTGTGATTGTGAGACTATTTCTATCTGTCTAAAGCAGTCTTTGTCCACTGCTGCTTCTTAATCAAACAGTTGGTAGCAGATACCAACCAACAGGGGTGACACTGTGATATCCTCTGATCCTTATGCCTAAGCTCCCAGGTAGTTCACTGCCCAGAGCTGGGTGCACTCCAGCCACTCCTTTGCAGAGAGCACACCTCATTCCCTCGCCTTTTCAGCCTATCTTTCCCAAAAAGCCTGTATCCATCCCGTACAGCACTGCCAGCCCCTGTCCCTCCAAGGGGGTCCCACGGTCATAGATGCTGAAACGTTGCCCGTGAATTTGGGGCCTGCGGAGAGGGGCTAATGAGCTGTGGGTTGTAAACAATATTCCTGTGAATCCAGCAACGCAGCTGGAAGTGGTGAGTTGCTCTCGTCAGGCTTCATTTCCCTTTTCCCCACCTAGCTCGTAGGCAGCTTTGCCTCAAAAGGACCATCAGCCACTCCTGCCAAGGAGGGGGAAGGGGAGGCTGTCTGTTTACTCTGTGGTAAGCAAAGCAGAAAATGATGTTGTTTCATTCCTCGCTACACACAAATTCAGAAGCTGAAAATATATATAAAAAAAAAAATTAGAAGATTCCTTTTTAGTAAAACTCCCTCCCCACCTCCGGGGTGTGAAGCATGGAAGCAAGACTTGGATGTGAGAGAGGAGAGATTGCAACAGCCTGGTCTGCTTGGAGGCTGATACACTGGCACGTTCCTCACCTGGAGGTACCTGTTCAGGTCCCAGCGTGGTCACTTTGGTCCTGTGACACAAACTCAGTTAGCTTGGAAGGCCTTTAAGGATCCTGAACGCCCGAGCCATGGCTGGTCTTGTGAATCTTTAAAGACCCTACCATGTTTTTGGTGCTGTGCCATGTTAGGTGCAGTCAGCCAGAAGCTACATATTGTGGGCAGCCCATGGTGGATCCCTCTTGGCTGGAAGATGTTGCAAAAACCTTCCCATTAGCCACGGTGCATGTCCCCACTTCTCACCTCGTCACGGCAGTCACAACAGAAATGAGCGTAACAGCTCTCTGGTTCAGTTCCTGGTGAGCATTTGGTTACGGGAGCAGCAGAGCAGGGTCCTGGCTAGCAGCATGGGTTCTGTCTGCCCATGGGAGGTAGCAATAACTGATATACCCTCTGAGTCAGTGCCTTGAGGCCTGGCACCCTGCAGGAGGCTGTAGAACTGCATCTGGGGCTGTTTGGAGTGTAAAAATTAGCTGGGACAGTGCTTGGAACCTGCCGACTCCCTCCGTGCAGCCTTGGGGCAGTGAGGCAAGTTCTTAGAGGTTATTTTATGAAGTCCCTCAAACCTGTCCAAACACAAAGCATCGTAGTTGTAGCAAAGGCCATTTCTACCTGCAGATCCTTGAAGCAGCAGTACATATTATTCTGATATAATTTCAGAAACCCAGGTGGTAATGAGGAGCCCAGCCTGTGAGAGGAGTCTGTGGCTGCCTCTGGTTAATAGGTAGGAGTCAGACAGGCTACCCTCCAGAAATCTGCGTAACGAGGTCCAACTTTCTTTTGTCTTCCCAGTTCCACCAAAGATCTCCAATATCTCCTCGGACATCACCGTGAACGAGGGCAGCAACGTGACCCTGGTTTGCATGGCAAATGGGCGTCCTGAGCCTGTCATCACCTGGAGACACCTCACCCCAACAGGTAAGAGACCCAACTGGACTTGACTGTGCTGTTGATTTGTGAACTGTACAGTAGTTTCCTTCTCTTCCAACGTCAGCAGAAAATTTCAGTAGCAATACAGGCAGCTGTAAAAAAAGTGGCAAGAATCTTAAATGCACTGCAAACTTGTTTTGCAGTGTGATTTCCCAGGCACGATAACCAGGTTGTCTGAGGAAACAAATGAAATTACTTCAGTAATGCTCAGTAGATGCTCTACAGAATTGGACCTGTAATTCTATTTAGCTTTGGTCTTCATCTAGTTGTCCCAATCTCTACTGCTGGTCACACACAGCACAGTGGTGGAGACAAAACACTGCTCGTGCCAGAGAGAGGGGAAAGGATTTCTGTTTAGATATTACATAGAAGAGGTTCTTTCCAAAAACCATGGAATTTGGTTCCCACTGATTTGCCTTAAAAGGGAGGGGCAAACAGTGGCACAGGTGATTTCATATTATTCTCCACTTTGGTAGACAGTCTTCCTGTGTCTTGTGAAGTGAGTAAAGAAGGCATTTTGTCTGCAAGATGAGTGAAGAGCAGGGTGGAGGCAGAATAAAGGAGAACTCACCAGCTTTGTTCTGCTATCTAACTGTGCCTTCCACGCTTGAGGACATGGCAAGCTTGGAAGGAGAGTATCCTTTCAGTAGTCAGACTCCACGGGGTTAGCAGCTTGGATTGCAAGGAAACCTTCACCCCCTAAAGATTTATCAGTAGGATGGGAACAAGAGGTAGGTTTCTCTTCCTCTGTATCATGTCCTTTGAGGAGAGAAGAACTCTTTACCTGATTTCTTTTGCCGTCAGACATTCTTTCATCTAAAATGCATGGGGAAGGCATTGATTAGCTCCATATGAATAGTATTCTGTGATATTCCCATATATGTAAAAGGTTAAAGAGGGCTTGAGGTAGGCAGAGTACAAGCTTTCTGCCTGTGCTACAAACAGTCAAGCTGTCTACTGCAATTCAGCAGCCAGAAAAAGGGAGGGCATTGCAGAAAAGAAAGTTGGAGAGAGAAAGGTAGAGTGGCACATTGAAAGAGAGCTCAATCCAAAGGCTGCATTCAGAAGCCCCTGGATTTGGGGCCTGCGGTTCAGATTGGGTTACTCAGATTTCCTGTCTCATCCCTTCAGCCAAACCAAAGTCCTCCTGAGCTTCGCTGTATATGAAAGCCAGATATGCAGCTTGTATTTCTGGCCCATTTCTTGCAATGCTAAAAGAAGGAAGATGGGGAAAGACTGCCAGAAAGAGGTCGGAGGAGCAGAGTTGATGAGGGGAACACTACTCCTCTGTGGTATCATCTTCACTACCTGACTCTCCTCTTTCGCTATGTTCAGTATTGAGCATGACTGCGCCATTAGCATATATAGGGAAATAGATCCTATTTTTTTCACTTTTAATTATGTACGTAGGATCTTATAGCTCTGGCATTTCTGCTCTTAAGATGTATTTCATATCAAATCTTCCATCTTGCTGCTGCATCAGTCTTCCGGTCCTCCATCTAACTCTTTCTTGTATACAAGTAGGAGATACTCCCTAGCTATTCCGTGAGCACAGCCTAACCTTGTCCAAGTTAAGGGCATTACAAGGAGGCAAGCTTAAATCTTCATGAAAACTAAGTCCTGGTATATGAGATGCATTGTTCAGAGCAGTAATAAGAAGATTCTTGTACTGACTCATCACTTTGGCTGCATGTTCGTGCTTTGTGGTTTTTTTTCCACTTGTACCACCGACTCCATTGTATCAGACACAGACTTTTTTTCTCCTTTTAAAAAGGCTCCTCAGAGCAAATCTTCATTCTGGCTATCCCCTCTGGTGAGCAACAGGACTGGGGAATCCCATCCCTGCTTTGATTCTAGGGTCAGTTTTCCTGGATCTGTTTTTCAGGTTTCCAGCATGCTCCTGCACACTTTTTCTCCCATGCCTTGTGTCTCAGAGGTGTTGCCTCGTTAGCATCCATCCGTGCCATCTCGCCGACCCCCTTCCAATCCATCCTCAGTCCTCCCCTCTACAGTGAAACCTGCCAAGCACCCCCTTCCTAAATGACTAGAGCCAGGGATGGAGGGCAGGCTCCATCCCAGTCTGTCACCTCCATGTCTCGCTGCTTGTTGTTCTCTCTCTTTTGCCTCATCTCAATCCATCTGGTACCTTTTATGCATACAGAGGAACTGCTTTCAGGCAGACATCAGGTCTTTGTGCAGCATGTAGCCCAATAAGACGCTTGTCCCAAAATGGGGGACAGAAGGGCTTCTTTTAAATGTTTTCCTTGAGGTTGACAATTAATATAAGTTCCAAATCTATTCCAGAGCTGCTGCAGTTAGAAACACGTCTTGTCTTGGAATCTCCCTTTTCCAGAACTGTAAGGCATTTTGGCTCTATTTATGCTAGTTTTGAAGACATCTGTTATGCATCAAAGAGCTATTTTAGATCATTGTAAAAGTTTCTAAAATATGTCTCTCTCCTTGGATTTTTTTTTTGCGATTAAACTCGTGACTGCAGAACTGGAAGAATGAACATTACTGAGCTTGTGTAGGAGGTTTTGAATGGACAGGTTTTGAAATTAAACCAGCATTGGGGGGCGAGAGGGCCAAATTGCTTTTTCTTTGTGCACTCTCCTCAAGGAGTTCATTAGCGAATTTGTCTGCTGTTTCTTTCTGTCATGGTTTAACCCCAGCCGGCAACTGAGCCCCACACAGCCACTCGCTCACTCCCCACAGTGGGATGGGGGAGAGAATCGGAAGAGCAAAAGTGAAAAATCTCATGGGCTGAGATAAAGACAGTTTAATAGGTAAAGCAAAAGCCACACATGCAAGCAAAGCAAAACAAGGAATTCATTCACCACTCCCCATGGGCAGGCAGATGTTCAGCCATCTCCAGGAAAGCAGGGCTCCATCACGTGGAACGGTGACTTGGGAAGACAAATGACACAACTCCGAACATCCCCCCCTTTCCTCCTTCTTCCCCCAGCTTTACATGCTGAGCATGATGTCCTATGGTCTGGAATATTCCTTGGGTCAGTTGGGGTTAGCTGTCCCGGCTGTGTCCCCTCCCAATATCTTGTGCTTCCCTCAAGCCTCCTCACTGGTGGGGTGGGGTGAGAGAAGCAGAAAAGAACTTGACGCTGGGTAAGCACCGCTCAGCGGTGACAAAAACATCCCTGTGTTATCAACACTGTTTTCAGCACAAATCCAAAACACAGCCCCATACCAGCTACTGTGAAGAAAATTAACTCTATCCCAGCCAAATCCAGCACACTCTCAGTCATTGACTTCATCAGTAGTGTTTGTTGGCTAATTACCTGAGTTAGGACCACAGAAATGATTTAGTTCTTGTTCGCTGGGAAGCGGAAGGTACAAATGCAAAGGGAAAGCAGTGTTGCTACTTATGTAGAGAAGGCAGGGATGCATGTGATAGTTCATTTAAATGCTGCTGGGCCTCAGGAGTGATCATAGCCCACTCATCTGTCTATCTGGGATGTTAAAAAAAATTGCTTTATAAAATGCTGTATCACTTCCTTTGCTGGTCCTACACTGAGTAGTTGAACTAGGCGTTTTTCTCACATCAACTATAAGTCCCCAAGCCCTGAAGCGACCCACAGAAAAAAACCCTCTCCTTACCCTGTGAGATAGCTAGAGTGTGGCTGTGGTTGTTGACTGTACCACTGACACCTGGGAGGAAGGCAGGTAAGGGGAAAAATACTTTAATAATTCCTGTAGCCGATGACAATATAGATCAGCTTTAATTTAATGAAAGCAGGAATGATGTTCCTTGGAATGATGCAAGTCCTTGCTCTCCACCTCTATTCCTATTCAGGTGACTCACTGATTGGGTTTTGACAGAGCAGGTGAAGAGAGTCAGCCAGACCCTGTTCTTTTTTTATCTGACAGGCCGTTATGCTGTAGGCAACCTGGTCTAACTAGTTGTGGATAGTTAATAGGCATTGCCTGGGAGCACAAACAGCTTCATTAGGTCTTCTCCTCCAGCCAGCAGAGCTCTCTTCTGGGTTCACTGACCTGCAGCTTCCAGCAGCAGGCCAGCACCTCCCTGGTCATAGTCAGATTCTTCTCCTGTGATTCAGGACACAGCTGCAGGCTTATTAAGCCTGCCTTGCCCTATGACTTATGCCATCCCAGTTTGTGATGGTAAGCCATGGAAAAGACCGTAGCAGCCCTCTGAACTGGATTTGTCAGGAAACTCTGATTTCTCCAGTTAAGTGGGGATGAGTATTGATGATTTTGTATACAGACTACACGAGTTAGTAGTTGTCAGCATTAGAAATATTTCACTAGGGGATATGCTATAGGCTTTCATCTCTTGAAAGGGACAAACCCCAGATTCTCCCCTCTGTGACTTTGCACAAAGAGTGGGTGTTATCCTGTTGTTTTCTTCTCCTTAATATTAACTCATAACCAACATGATCCATGGCCCACAAAGGTATAGATTATTTTTTCCTCACTGAATGCAGTGACATCAAATTTCCAGCAGTTGCACCGCAGCCTGGACAAGGTCCTAGCACAGGGCCACGTATCATTCATCACACTGACACATTCTGTGTGGGCTACCACAGGCAGCCTACCCGTCTATGGCCAGTTAGATTAGGAGGCGCTCTGTTTTCCCTGTACCGTGCACCAAGATAACAAGAAACACAGCCAAGAAAAGAATCCAGTAAGATAGTTTAGAGATGGTAGGCAATGCCTGCTTTTGAGCTCATCTTAGTTTTACTTCACATCTTTCCTGTTTATTCAGGCTAATGCGACTTCTCCCTACCTATAAGCTGCTGAGATCACAGTCCAGAGGCTTTATCATTTATCATTCTTCATCTCTCCATCTTATTCAGAGCCATGTTAGGTGCCTGCTTGACTGAAAAAGAGCTTCCTGGGAAAAATAAAGATTCATGTATGTTCATAATCTTACCAATAAACTCCCTCTCAATGGAAACCCTAGAGAGTGGCCTCTTGTGAATTGGGTTAGCAGCCATATGAACATGGAC